AGAGGAAGTGTTAAGGAAGTTAACGGCGCGACGCTCGAAGGTTCCCGTAGGCACTAATAAAACATCAGAATCAGATGAAGTCCATGTGATGGATGGTTGATTAAAGTCACCCACGATAATGATCATGAGATCCGGATATTTATCGCGCACAGTAGATAGATTGGATAAGAAGAGATCAAGTGGCTCCTCGGCGTTAAGAGGGAGATAAACACAGCACAAAAGAAAATGATACTGACCGCAACACACTTTCAACCACAAGTCTTTGGCACCGCAGTGGAGACACGGCATAGGAACGACGTGAAGACCTCTCTTGGCGGCGACAAGGACTCCTCCACCATCTCGGTTGGTAGACGCTGTTGATTCTCTGTCACGACGATATATGTACAATATATAAAGGGCTGAGAAGTTCCCCGTCGGACATCGTAGAGTTAAGAAAGGTCTCGGTAAGACAAATAAAATCCGTCGATAGCGCATAAGAATTAACTGAGGTAGTATTCGTTTTGGAACGTAGGCCTCGGACATTTTGGTAGTAGAAGCTAAGCCCATGAATAGTGAAGTGATACTCCCAAAGAAAACCAGTGCGATAAAGAGCTCTGTCTTACAATTTATTCAAGTCTGACAGGGATTTGACTACCAAAGCCTTAACTCTGTCATCTTTTCTTACGTGAATCAAACAGTTCTTCGTCCAAACGTACTTATAATTTTTCTCTCGTGCCATTTCCCGCACCCTGTTGAAGAGGTTCATGTTATTAGCCGTTAGATGTTCGTTTATATATAAGTTATCCGAGATATCCGGAACCGATAAACCACGGCCATTGACTCCGCGACGACGCAATCTAGCCGCACTAAAAATGCGGTCCCGTGTCATGCTGGATACAAATTTAACGATTATTGCGTTAGCATGCGGTTTATCTGCTCTGAGAGATGTTCTTTGAGGCAATCGATGTACGGCATCAATGTCGGAAGGTGTAATGGGAGATTCAATAACAGAAGCAATACTGGACACAATATCAGGAAGGTTTTCGCCCACGCGTTCGGGGACTCCTGAAATAATTAAGTTGTTTAAGCGTGAATATTGCTCCAGGTGATCGAGACGGCCTTCCGTTACGGCCAAGTCTGCCCTGAGTTTCAGGTTCTCAGCGACCACTGTGTCGATTTGTTTGACTTTATCACCAAATATATTTAGGGTCCGTTCAAAATCTGTGATTTTATCCCCATAGAATGAGATGGATTTAATAATTTCATCGTACTTGCTTGATAATTTCTTCACCTCAGTCTGAATAGAAGACATGAGCTGAAACAGTTGAGCATTACTGGGGCCGCTGGAGGACGAGAGATCAGATGTTTCATCCTCGATCATGACGGATTTATCAAGGTTACTCCAGCATTTGGAGCATTTCCAAAAGACGTCGCCCGCTTTGATTTGAACGAGGGTGTCGGAAGGAATTTTGACGCATTTGGTCAAAATGCGTCAAAATGTTTTATGGCACTGAAGACCGGGGCTCTTCGACGATAAGCGGCCGGAGCAAACCTTACACCCCAACATCGATATGGGGATACCTGTTCCCGGGTTCAAAGGTCAGCGCGACCGACCAGCACCGCTCGACGATAACAAAATTAATATTAAAGTTATAAAACAAACCGCAAGGAATTAACCAAACGCGACGCCGCGCCGGCAAGCAAACTAAACCCACCAGATCAAAACACACACGCGGGTGCAAATAAAAGCTTGAAAAATTAACATGAGACACTTCAAAACTACAAAACTTCACCATGCAAATTACTGTGATGTTGATAGCTTGACACAACGAGGTTTAGTCGTAATAATAACATTAACTATATAGTAATTATAAAAAATAAAGTGACTAGTCAATTTATTAAAGAATTAAAGGGCGTTCATAATAAATTAATTCGACAACTTATTTTGAATGATTTTCATATGTTACCAACCGGAGGACACATTGGTATAAAACGTATGTTTAATAATGGCAAAAAATATTATTTTCAGAGCAGTCTTTTCAAAGACATAGAAAATTTTGTTAAACGTTGTGATGATTGCCAGCGTTATAAACATGCAACACACAACAAAGAACCAATGAGTCTTACCGATACGGCCGCTACTGCATTTGAAAAAGTATTCTTGGATACAGTAGGTCCACTTAATGCAGATAATGACGATAATAAATATATATTGACGATACAATGTGACTTATCAAAATTTGTGGAGTGCTACCCAATCAGCAATAAAGATGCAGAAACTATCGCAAAATGTTATGTTCAAAATTTTATTTTAAGATACGGTATTTCTAAAACTGTTGTAACTGATCAAGGTACGGAATTTATGGCCAGTACATTTCAGGAAACATGTAAATTATTAAAAATTAAACGTTTAAATTCAACAGCGCACCATCACGAAACTTTAGGTGCCATTGAAAATTCACATAAACATTTGGAGCTTATTTGAGAATTCGATCGAATAAGCATCCAGACAGTTGGAGCACTTGGGTACCTTATTGGAGTTTTTCATATAACACAACTGTTCATTCATCAACTAATTATAGTCCCTATGAACTTGTGTTTGGGAGAAACCACAGATTACCATCAAATTTATTGCATGAAGTAGAGCCAATATATAATTTTAACAACTATGCTATTGAACTTAAATATCGACCTCAGAAAGCATGTGAGGATGCTAGGTCAAATTTAATAAATTCAAAAAATAAACGGACTGATTCTTATAATAAAAACTTAAAGGAAATTAATTTTAAGGTAGGAGATAAGATTTTAGTTAAGAATGAAGTGGGAACTAAGTTAGAATCATTATATTAGGGTCCATATGCAATAGTAGAGATGAAATCGCCGAACGTAGTTATTAAATTAAATAATAGATTAATCGAAATTCATAAAAATAGAGTTAAACAATATTATGAATAAAAAAAAATTTTTGAATTTTTTTTTCCACCCCCAGAGGTGTAGTGTAGTAATTAATTATAAATAATATAATATTAATTTTCTTTTTTAATCACTTTTCCTTATTAAAAAGCGGTCATGATTGCGAAGGATGAGTAGTAGCAATCAATTGATTGCTATTAATCAATACATTAATAAGGAATATTTATGTAGTCATATTTTAATAAACAGTTATTCTTTAATTTTACATCATCTATATCTAAAATATCCTGAACCATCGCAATTTACTGTTTAGTTACAATTTTAATTAATTTTATGATAATTCGGCTGAATGAAATAAAGCTAGAAAGAAGTTCGCACAAACATTATTTGTTTTAATTTATCTGTCTCCTAAGTTTCCTCTGATGAGAACATCCTTTTACTTACAAGCCTTTTGACTCTTGAACTCTTGACCCCACAATATATGTGAATATATTGTGCAGATATAACGTACAGTCATTGCATGCCGTGCAAATAAATGTGCATTAAATAAGTGTTGATTAAATTATTAGGTGTTTAAGCATCTTCATTTGGTAACTTTCAATATCCAATTACAAAAAACATAAACCATCTTGTACTCCTTAAAGATAACATACAATTAACTACCTTAAATTTGTAGAATAGTGTAATTTACATACTTTTGCTACTGCTGCATGTGATATTTCACCGAATAAAGGTACTTCCGTCATAAACAATTTTTGGGTCATACACAATAAGAGTAAAACGTATTTTCGTGTTGAGATATCCGCATCATACCAATTCAAATCATATACGGTTTCGGCCACACTACTAGCCTATTAGAAAAACAAACCTTTAATATTGTTTCATTAGACAACTACTTACAAGCACCGTTGAAGTAATTCTTTGTCCGCTTGCATGACATAGATATAATGTTACGAAGTTGATCATGGCCATGAGAAAACTTATTAAATCTTTTTTCTAAAAGTATTACTTTAATTAATTTAATTACTAACACTCAATAATCACACATACCAAAGCAAATTCGGTGGCAGAGGCAGTTAAAGAAAGTAACATGATAATCTTCGTAGGTATTATAAAGCTACTAAAGAATTCTTCCAGCATTTGAAAAATTCTGTAACCATAAAATAATATACAGTGTCAATCAAAAATCAACAGCACATATGAGACATTCACCCGATCTTTCGATCTAAGATGATTCGTCAACTTCTTTATACACAAACAGATTGACTTTGACAAAGATTGTTAATACCTAGAGTAATAACACAGAATATCGAATAGTTATTCTGTAGTAATAATAAAGTTGAAATACTAAATTTCTTCCTCTCTCTATGTACGCAAAGCATACAATTCTTAGCATTACAGGAGATATGTTTTTAACACATTCTCTTATAATGTTCTCAAGTTGCCTAATATCTTGAAATGGTCTGTGTTTATACAACTCATTGTTAAGGTAACCCCAAAGAAAAAATTGCATTTAGTCAAGTCTCATTTAATAGCTTGTGGCGTACAAAAAAAACAACAACAACGACGATATTAATAAAAAAAAATTAAAACGCCACAATAACGCAAGGTGCCGACAAATCTCAGTCGAGGCGGGGGTGGATTTAAAAAATTTAAGGGCGCCAGTGGATTCGCGATAGTCCACCTTACATTTACCAATCACATTAAGATCCACTCCGAAGTGAAAGATGAGTGACGTGAACAAAAATTATATCAAAAATAATATGTTTAACAGTATATTTAAATTGATAGAAACAAGAAAAAAAATATATAGATCACTGACAAAATTAAAAATAATAATTGAAAAATTAAAAAAAAAATTAATGATAAAAAAAAAAAATTCAAACTAACCAAGGGTGTAAACTCGAGTGCCTTTGATTTTACAAAAGCAAAACAAATAATAAAATAATTAATAGTAATGGTAAGTACAAAAAAATATATATATAGATACATGCGAATTAAATTTCAATTTTTTTTCTGTCTTTCTTTTTTTTTAGCGTACCTAAATGACTGATTGCTCGACGGACAGAAGAAAAAATATGTAACAATCTGGCCTTTCTATGTTGATAAGTTCTTATTATTTTTTTCTTCTTATTCTTAAAAAATGTGTTACTTCAGCAGAGAAGATCTCAGGATCAAAATGGCAATAATACGGATCAAGACGATATTGGCACGTTGACGGAAAAATCCAATATAAAATAATTTATATCCGATACAAAAAAAAAACCTAAAGAAACGATAAGAAAACTATTACCGATAGGAAAAATAAAGGAAAATTAGCAATAATCTTACCGTTTCGCTCAATTATGGGCAATCGAAACGCTTCGCAACCGGAAAATTTATCGAAGTTCGCGTAAAACGCGGCGTGGTTCAATTAAATCCTCCTAAAGGAGTATCGACGAAATTACAAAACACAAAACTTCTTCGAAATACAATTCGAGATCCCAAATCCCAAGAATAATTACTTCCGAGGGAACAAAAACTTAACCCTTAATTTGGATTGAATTGTTCAACCACGATGATGTTAAAAATCGAAAATTTTCTCTTAGCTCAAAACGACTTTACGGCTCTTAATACTCGTCTCTCTTTTTCATCGACCCGAAAATCTTCGTCACCACAAAACCCGTTCTGCCATAAAGCGCGATTCGAAATTATAAGGAAAAATAAACCGTGACTTTTATGTTCAAAATTTCAGAACATTCAGAATTTAAATAAAATTACTAGCTAAATTATTTTAATAGAAAAATCTACGTATTTTAATTCATTAAAAAAAAAGAAATGTCACAAGCTTTAATATCGTATCGCAGACTCACTTTCCAGGAAGCTTGATGAGATTAGTGTCACAGCGCGCTATTCCTCCATGGCAAAGTGCTCCTCAAATACGGATGGAGTGTGGTTAGAAAAGTCGGCAGTCTTGCACATCCGTCGATGCACAACGCAATACCACAATCTCTTGAAAGAGCTGCTCTTGACAGGGGAGTGGAAGCAACTATAGCGGGTTGAATCGATAGTAGAATAATTTTTAGATCACTCCACGGTGACACGATACGCTTCAGGCCGAGAGGTGACTGTCCGCAGGGAGGGGTCCTATCTTCCTTGCTTTCGTCTCTTCTGGTTGATGATCTGATTGCGATAGTCGAAGCCGTTGGTGTAGAAATACAAGCTTATGCTGATGAAATTATCGTTAAGGTCAAAGAAACTTGTTTGTCGATGATATCCAAAGACCTATGATTACAAAACTGTCCCGACATGTCCTACCAATGGGCTGCGGAACACATTATAAACACTGATACTGTGGTATCAATGCCGTGAGATCTGGGGGGATCACTATCAGTGATTAATGCCCGATACCAGATTGGACTACCTGAACAGCAGTCCTGGATCGAAAACAAAAATTCTATGGTTCAGGCAGATATTTGCATGTTCACAGATGGATCAAAAATTCCGAAAGGGGTCGGAGCAGGAGTAGTATACTCCTGCCCAGACACCTCGAATTAAACAAGCTTACAATCTGGGTACGTACTGTACTGTATTCCAGGCGAAAGTATTTACGAGCGTATTTTGAGAGCGGCACGAAAACGGTGTCGGCTCTGGTTAATGACTGTAAGAGAACATCAAACACACTGAGTTGTGATAACAGAGTTTCTCTTCTAGCACGAGAGGGCAGCGCTAAAGCGTTTGTCAAACCAGAACCAGCTGTTGGTGTATCATTTGCGATGGCCAAACATAGGATTGGACTGTGGGCTGAAGAGAGACTTTGGCTACTGTGAACCAGTTCTCCTGAAAAAAGTCGCTGAAAAGGTGAACGATGTTTTAAGGAAAAAGATAGAAGAACTGGAACATAGCGTTCAAGCTGTGCGCGATGAAAATTCGATGTTGAATGTGCGTGCGTGTATATGTTCATAGACTTTTTATCATTGTACTTGAATATATTCTTATTGTGTTTCTTTGTGTTTGGTGATTTCTCTTTTTCTTTTTGTTTAAATGGATATACCTCTGGAAGATCTTCCTAGAATCAGAGACCTCTTTGTTGAAGATAAATTATCTTTCGATAGCCTAATTGATTCCTGCAACATTGCTTCGCATAATTTTAAAATTTTTCATTCTAATATAAGAAGTACGAAAAAACTTTATTAACTCCTCGTCCACTATAACTCATAGCAGTACAACCATTACAATTAACAATTACAAATTTCTGAGAACGGAATGTCATTTGGGCGATGCATTAATTTGCATTAATTCCTTTTATCGCTCGCCGTCAAGACCTATCCAAGATTTCTTAAATAGTTTAGAAGAATATCTCTATATTCACTACAAATCACGTTTTGAAATTTTCGGAGTCATTGATTTAATCTTTTGGTAACCACTTTCCTTGCATTCTCAGCAGTTCTTTGGATATTGATTCGCAATTGAGAAACGATGGACTTGATCAGACACTCTCTTGTATTAATTACGAAAAGTTACGGAACTTAATTATAAGTTCTAATTGGAAGTATGGTGATGGTTTGGATATTCAGGATAATTTTGCAGATTATATCAATTTATTAAAAAGCTCATTAATCTCAGCTACATATAACAAAAGAATCGCGAACTCAGAGTTTAAAAAAAAGATATGGATGAGCAGTGAGGTCCTATCTGATATCCATAAAAAGAACCAGTTGTTTAGGTCGTATAGACACACTAGATCAATTCAAAGTTATGATCTGTATTAGGCTCAACGTAACAAAGTTAATAATTTGACTAACAATAAGTCCGACAAATTTAATTATTTTAAATGTAAAATAGTTGAATCGACGAATAATAAGCAGCTTGGTTTATTGTCAAACAATGTCTTAATTTACGAAAAACGGTGCCCACGATTACAAAGATTATGGCCCAGGACGAGAACACATTAGAAAGCCCACATAAAATTGCTAATGAATTTAATGCATATTTCTCATCTGTCGGAGAAACCCTTGAGCGGAGTATAACACACAACGATAAGAACTTTAAACATAATATAAGCTCAAATTCTGAAAGTTTATTCTGGAAACCGACTGCTGAATGAGATGTTATTGACATTATTGAGTAACCTGTCAGCAACCATAATAAAAAAATTAAAAGATATTATCTCTGCTCCATTATCAATTTTAATAAATGCACAGGGATGCTTTCCACAAGTTCTAAAAAAATCCGGCCTTGTTCCTATTATAAAACAGGTTGTGCTAACAAATTATAGGCCCACCATGCATATCAAAAATTTTTGAAAAAATTTTAATAGATCAGTTAGAACACTTTCTAAATTCCAGCAACATTATATCCAGTTGTCAGTATGGTTTTCGTCAAGAAAGGGGGGTTGATGATGCTTTTGGTGTATTCACCAAGAAAGTCAGTGATGTATTGGATGCTTCTACTACCATTATAGGAATATTTTTGGATTTGGCAAAGGCATTTGATACTATGGCTCTTAATACACTGCTTGCCAAATTGGATTTGTATGGTGTTAGAGAGGTGTGTCTTGATCTTTGTCCGTGCTAATTTGTCTAATAGAACTCAGGTTGTTGCTATAAATTAACACACAGTAATAGTCGCAATGTATCCTGTGGAGTGCCGCAGGGATCAATCCTGGGTCCTCTCGTTTCCCTCATGTATATTAAGCCTAGGATACTTAACCAATAAAATATCGTCATTTACATAATCCGGGCTTCTGAGACCCATTATATAAAATCACGTGTAGTCAGAACAGAAACAAAGTTATTGAAGTAAAACTTTATTTATTTATACATATGTACGTTACAAACGTGAGGTTAAATATGAAATCGAACATTATTGTTAAAAAAACATTATTGTTTATTGTTTTTAGGAATTAGAGAAGCATTTAGTGCACATTCTAATACTATGCTCATTACAGATATTATTTTTACAAGTAATACATATCATTGTGGTTTTACGATCAATACTTGCGGGACATACTGAGCATCTTTTTCTCTTAATTGTTGCACTTGTGTGAGCGGCTGGCGGACCACATATATCAATAAATCTGCTCATACACTCCCGGACAGTACGCCGTAGGTTAGGGTTAGTAGATCTTCTCTGCATATGTGGTATCACTAGTTCCTTCACTAAATCTTTCAAAAACATTCTGCGTTTGTGAGTCACTCCTATGTTGTAGTTTGGATGTTCCTTCGTAAAGACTATATATGCATTGAGTGCTGCAACATCAATGATGTTGAAGAAAAATGTCATGGGCCATCGTTTACTTTGCCTCTTGCATGTGTATGTCGACACCATTTGATCCATGATGTCAACCCCCCCTGTGTTTTATTATAATGAGAGATTATTTCAGGCTTCCTCTTAGCGTCGTTATTGATAGATGCGTCGCGGTGCATGGTGCTTAGTAAAATTACGCATTTGTTCTTTTTACGTGCATAACTTACCATGGATACGTTATTTTGAAAACAAAACAATGTTTTGAGGCTTTCATTTCTTTCGGAATGTCACGCTTATTCTGACGTAGTGTACCCACAACGGTAATATTTTTATCCAACAGATAAGTTGCTAGCGGAACACTAGTGAAGAAATTATCAATCGTGAGATTGCGACCAGAATTATGAATGCCAATCACAAGAGTTTGTACTACTTCAAGCCCCAGGTTTTTATGTGGAGATTCTCCGGGCTGGCGACCAATATAAACTAAACTATCCAAAGCATTACCAGACGTAGATTCACACATCCAAAATATTTTAAGTCCATATTTTGCCGGTTTACTTGGCATATATTGAACGAATGTGCATCTACCTCTAAACCCAACGAGTTGTTCATCAATAGTTACATTAGTATCAGGTATGACGCAGGTTTTGCATTGCTGAATAAATAAATCCCAAATGTAGGACACCATTGCTAACTTATCGGTTTCCAAACGTGCATTCCGGGTTCTCTTGTCGTCAAATCAGACGAATCTTCGTATTTCTTCAAAGCGAAATATGGACATTGTGGCTTGGTATACAGGATTGGCAAATTCATCACAAAATAATTCTCTCGCAGGAACATCCCAGCTTCTGTCAACTCCCGCATGAATAAGTAAACCACAGAATGCAAGAAAGTCATCAACAGTTACATCTTTCCACGGTTTTCCTTTTGCTCCATAAACACGTTTGCCCTCTAAATTAGTACAGTTCACAATTTCTTGTACAATAAC